TAACTCTCAGGCTCCACCTCAATCTGTGGGAAAGACCAGGGTTTCACGCAGACGTTTGGAACCCCAGGGGAAGCAAGCGGGGTGCTTCCGATGGAGGGCACGTCAGAGAGGTGATGGCGGGAGGGTGCCTCCTGCATTTCATGAAGCGTGTGGAAGCCTCCACCCCCAAGATAATGGGGAGGCCTGGCGAAGTTTCCTGGATTGAGGGGTGCCCACGGGGCTGGTATTCAGCCAGCACAGACCACGGTAATTGTGCCATTGTAAACAGATCGCAGATCTTCCTCACTGGTGGGTCATGAGCCCCCAAGTGCCCCCTGCAACCACTTGGAACCTCAACCCCTTTCCTGTGCCCAGACCCCACCCCCAACATAAAAGGTAAACACAGCAACAGTCTGGTCGGCCTCTCGACATGCCCTGGACCAGGCGTCAACATTTCAAATGTCATCCAGTTTATCTCGGCAGGTGACCCAGCTGCGAATCGGGCTCATTTTGGAAGCAGATGCCCCCAGGGACGTGTATGTCATGTTAAATACATGCATATTTAAATGAGTGAAGGTGTTTATAGCTCCCAGACCCGTGCCCACTCGGAATAAATGTTCGATCCGTGTTAGCTACTATGACGGTTGATCTCGGTGGCCGTCCTCACTGCAGACCAAACCTGTCATTTGAAGGTGGCGACAGCGGGCACCGCTGACCTCTCCTCTTCGGGTTTTCCTGCTCACGTTTCTGCAGTTTAGGTTCCATTTTAATCTCCTTATCAGGCCGGTTTACAGCATCCGGGCGCCACGCCGTTTCCTGGAGCATCTAAGCTCAGATTATATTGAGCTGGGTGGTTTTTTGTTTTGTTTTGCTCTAATTTTTAATAGCACGACCTTGGGCAAATCATTGAAACTTGCCCGAGTACATCCACATGCCGGTGAGATGCCCGTCTCATTCTTTCACAACAGCCCAGCACTTAAAATGTGCCAGGTCGTGGCCTCTGCTATCTGGTGGCTCCACGTGGCTCTGGGGACCAGATCTGCTGCCAGATGACACGGCCTTGAGTGGCTCCCCTTTCTCTTGAATTCTCCACGGTTGGAACGAGCCCTTTATGGGGTGAGCCTGGTGCAACGTACCTCCCAGAGAAGCCGGCTCCTTTCTTCCCTCCCTCGTTCTCATTTTAGTAATCGACTTTCTCAGGCGGGGCACGTAGCCACCCACCTAGGGGACAAAGCTGAACCAGATGCCCTTGAGGCAAGGGACACGACAGAGAAGAATGAAGCCTGGACCCTGCCTAACCCTACCTGCCGCCGTCACGGGAGCGGAGTAGCCACCGACCCTATAGTCTTGACTTGGTCTGGCACCGGGGAAGGGTCTTTACTCCTATTTTATCTGTGCCCAGATTTCACGAGGACTGGCGGGCAGGCAGGAGATTCCGAATACAGGGAGGTGGCCCATGGCTTGCTCCTGCCCTCCCCGGGTGTGGTGGGACCGGCAGGGTCGTGGCTGGGTTTGCCTGGCACCATCCTCCCGCCAGACTAATGCAGGATGTTATGTAACGATAAGAGCAACCGCAGGCGACACCTCCCTCCGTAATCGGATGGAGCCTCAGACCTGCCGGTCATTCCTGCGTCAGGTGACGGACGGAGGGTGAAGTGGGG